GGCGGGCATCGGGCGCCGCCGCCGCCGGGGAGGGACTTTGGCCTCGGCCCCGCCCGGAACGGCAGCGGCGCCGGGATGCGGAGGGGGCGGGGAGGGGGAGAGGGAGGGGACACGGGAGGGGACAGGGACACTGTGAGGGGGCGCGGGGACAGGGGATGGAGTGACCGGGGCGGCCACACCTTCCCGCTCGTGTTTTGGGGCTCTGAGGGGACACAGGGACTGGATGTTTCGGGTCCCCACACACACTGTGGTGTCACCACGGTCACTGGAGGGGTGACACACCCGGGGACAGAGGCTCAAGGCTCAGCCCCTTGTCGTTCCCCTTCCCCCTCTGCTGGGTTTGGGGTGGTCCGAGTTCCCTGGGGAGCCCCGACAAGCCGTGCCCACCCCGAGCCCATTCCCAGGCACATCTCGGAGCCCATTCCCATGCCCATCCCCCGTGCCCCCTCCTGTGCCCACCCCCAGGCCAGGCCTTCCTGGCCCCTGCCCTTGACCCTGCTGTGCCCGGGGAAGTCCCCGTGTCCCCTGGAGCCGTCACGGAGGCATCTGATTCTGGAGCGGCCGCTTCCCCTGGCACATCCCCAGCTCAGCTCCCGTCAATACTTTCCATTCCCAGTGTGGCAGAGCTGGGAGGGCGGGGGACGGCCGGTGCCACCCCGTGCCCATCGCTCCCGCACCGCCTGGAAGGACAGGGACACTGCCACCCGCCCATGGGCCCCTTCCTGGGGTCCGGGCTCCTTCCCAACATCTGCAGGACCCCTCTGGAGCTGGGGTTGGGAAGGGGAGAAAGGGGGACGTGGGTGTCTACCAAACCTACACCTAAATCCCTTGGGATTCGGGGTCACAGGTGATGGTGCTGCCCAGGGGCAGTGGGAGCAGATGGGGACGGGGATGGGGATGGGGAAAGGGGACAGGAATGAGGATGGGAACAGGAATGGGAACAGGAGTGGGGATGGGGATGGGGATGGGGGACAGGGATAGGGATGGGGATGGGGATGGGGATGGGGGACAGGGGATAGGGGACAGGAATGGGGATGGGGACAGCTCTGCTTCTCCCACAGAGTGCTCCAGCTGTAGGGCAGGAGGAAATGAGGAGTTAAGGATGCACGGGGTGACCGTGGGGGGTGGATGGACAGGAGGACCCTCATCCCCACAGTGGGACAAGCCTGGGCAGGCCTGGGGCTTTTGGGAGTCTCACGGATGTGTGTGTGTGTAGGTGTGTGTGGGTGTGTATTGGCCCAGCAGATGCAGCTCAGCAGCCATCCAGGCTGGCTCTTCACCACTGGCATTGCTCCGAGGGGTCCTGCCCTTCAATCTCTATGCAAAGGCCTCCTGCTGACCCCCCACACCACCACCCCCAAC